TACTTGATAAATAACATAATAAACTCCAAATGGACCACATCTTCCATTACTAACTGTCAAGAAAACGACCATATGTATATGCCAATCGCTTACTTTCCAAAATATTATTCCATCTTTGGTAGCGATCATGTTATTCATACTTTCTTTTCTTGTATATGATGGAGAAGGGATTCTTCTCTTCTGTTTTGAAAAAGGATTCATTCATTTTGTCTAGATAATTTTTTATTTTAATAAAACAAGAAGCAAAAATGAAATATAGAGACGAAAAAGTACAAAATTTGATCGCGTGAATAATAATAAAAGAGAAAAATGAATTATTTTAAAAAGAATGATCAAAATGAATTTGAGGAAGAAAAAAAAAGAAAAGACATACACGGACACGTAATATATGGTATAGTTATATTTGTGTTAATTATATACCAAACTAGAGAAGAATGTTAATCATAGTAATAATAGTAATAGTTGCTCTTGTTTAAACTGCTGAGGAACACTGACAATAAAAAAAAGGAAAAATTAGACAAAACATAAGATGAGACGACAATTAATTGTAAAAACACATTTTAGAAGGCATTTATGCTCGGGCTGGTTTATGCTTTTTGTTCGGTGGTTGCTGTTGGACTATATTCTTTTTTGATGCTACCATCAGCACGTCGTTTATGTGAAAGTAAAATGATTAAACCAATAAGGAGAGCACCAATCATTGATGCACCTATAATTATAATCGGTATCAAACTCACTTCTTTCCTTGGTGGTATTGGTGTAATATCTGCACTAGATGACTCTGCCGGATACCGTTCCGAGCTATCTTGTGAGATTATTTGCGTTGTTGCTTGTGCTTCATTATATGATGAATCATAAACTGAATCATCCCATGGATTTCCATATTTAGATGAAGAATCTGGATACGGTTTCTCAATCAGACTGTTGTCTACATTTGATGAGTACTCATATGAATCTTCTGATAGTTCTGGTTGTGGTGGTGAAATAGCGTTTTGTAGTTTTTGTTTATCTTGTGGTGTAACTTGATAGGGTGCAGTGTACATTCGTGGTTCACGTTCACGTAAAGCATCTGTACCATCGGAACGGCGGATAGGTGGTGGTGGATTAAATGTATTTGTATCTGCATTATAGTTATTTTTAATTGCAGCACATGATGAATATTCACAACCTTGTGGACTACATGGTAATCGCCCAACAGCTGTATCCAAATAAGCTGATACACATGTACAGTCTCGATCATCTGGTAGGGCATGAATAGCTACTTGTCCACTAGCTAGTTTTTCAATTAATTTACATTGTGTATTTCCATCTAATTTTTCTATATTTGCTCTAAATTCTTTAAGATTTGGTAAACTATTGAAAAGATCTAAATTTGGTTGTGAATCTTTGATTGTTAAGTTTTCTAAGTGAGTTAAACCATCAAGTGCATGTGGATCAATACCTCGATCACTTTGAACAGATAAAGTATGTATATTAGGAAATTGACGAAAAGCATTTGCTGGTATACGTTCTGGACTATGAACACGTAATTCACCTAAATTACCATAATTTGGTGGATGTTCATTATTAAAATCAGTTATATAAAAAGCATTAATAGTTAATTCATGTACTGGATAAACAGGAAAATTTTGTACTGATAATGCACCAGCTTGTTTAGCTAATTCTAAACGAGCGATATTGCCTGTAAATGTTTCAGAAACATCCGAACGTATATCACCACCACTTAAACGTATAAATTTTATATTGGCATTCTTAAATAATTGTTGAAATGTACCATGAAATGGATACAATGAATATAATTCTAATGACTCTGCATGTAAATTTTGAAATAGACTTGGATTATCATGTTGTGCTACTTCAGGATTATAAATTTCTAATGCTAAATGTTTTCGTGCATTCAATGGTAAATTATCTGGAAATACTCGATTAAATATTGAAGATGATGTTAGATGAAGTGCAGTAAATTTTTCGAATTTAATACGAAATTCGAAATTATTTCCATCAGATTTATATAATTCTTTAATCGGTTCAAATGTATGTTCATTAACATAAATATCATGTGAAGCTTCTATAATCAATTCAACAGATGGATATTTGTGTTTTTCATTTTCCATAATATTTATGGGTGATGGTAATTCATGATCAATTCTACATGTTACACGATAAGGGTTACATTTACAATCGAAACCTGTAATAGCTTCACAATGCTGAGGATCAGCTTGTCGACGTATACGATTTTTTCGAATAATTGACATTGAAGATGTAGATAATGATACGGATAAGATTAAAAATAATAATACTATACGTAACATCGTAGTTTATTTTACTTTTTGATTCAACGCTATTTTAAATAAGAATAATATTTATTGAAAAAGTAATTTATCAAGATATGAGTTTCTAATATAGTTTCACAAAATAAAAACTTTAGAAAAAGTAGGAACTACTAGACATGAAAAAAATCGATGGGAACTTACCGTGAAATAGTAAACGAAGTATTGTGTCGATTATCGAAGCACGAGATATGAATAAATCGGAAGAATCATAAAAAATATTGAAAAGGGAGAAGGCACACAAAGTAACACTATTATCTTGCTTAGATTTTTTTACTGGTCTTATCATTTTTATTAGATTTATTCAACTTGATTGCTTTCAAATACAATAGTCGATAATGAAATTAAATACGATCATGGTAATGAAAGAGATACTATTATATATAGAGATATACGATTTTCGTTGTTGTTTCGTCATTCAATTTCAAGTGATGCCTTAGAATTAAATATTAAAATTGACTGAATATAAGCATAAACAAGAGTATTATATTGACGCTTCATTCACATTTGCAACATGTCTAAGGTAAATATGGTTGAAAAGTATAGGCAAAGTTCCTTTTATTCATTGGTGTGAGTGAGAATAATATACAATACCCACACCCACACCCACCCCTTAAATTTTTGATTTTTATATGAGGTAAATCTGTTATAGATATAAAATTGATAAATATTAACTGTGACAATTTAGAAAAACAGTTTATGTATTTTTTTACATGTTGGAAAATGCTAGTAATTTCATTATCATGTATTATTCACCTTCAAGCATAATATTCACTTACTTTGTTTTTGTTTTCACTTTTACTCATTTCCTTCTAAAAGTATTTGTCTTTTACCCGGAGATCACTCATTTAATTAGCATATTTTGTTCTTTTTCTCTCGTGCTCCATGTTGAACGCTATTATACAATTATATACACTATATTCTTTCATTATTTGAATAAATAGCCTTTTTATCTTGAGGATTTGAATACTGTATTCACCTAGCAACCACATTCACACCTTTGCAAATGAATCTCTCTCACTAAAAAACATTAGTAGACAGGATATATGAAAAAATAAGAATATAAAAAGAAAAGAAAGAAAGAAAGAATTTGTGAGGAGAAAGTAGGTTGTAAATACACGTCTTTTTTCGAAACCTGTTTTTTCTTTTGTTGGAATTTTTCCTGCTATTTTTTTATTATTGGGTAAACAAGAAAGAGAGTCACAGTAGTAGTATAAAAGCTCACATCAACGATGAATACATTCACTCTTGCGTTTCATTTCAAAATCGTGATCTTCAGATAACAATTTCATGCAGTTAACAGTACTCTTTCTTCTAATGGCAACTGTTATTGGTGCAGCTCAATCTCAGTCATGGGCCGGCACTTATACAGTTGATTCATCGTGCAACACAACCAGTTGCTGTTGTTTAAGTGGAAAAGCAGTGTTGACAAGTACGACAAATGGCTATTCAGTTAACTCCAGTGCGAGCAGTTTGTGCAACAGTAACAGCACTTTCACAGGTACTCTTTCTACAACTAATTATACGGGTTGGATTAAGGTAAACAGCGATAATGATACAGTAACACTCAGCTCCGACAGTCTCACTATTACTATCAACGATACAACCAATTCAACATGCACTAACAAGTTAATCAAGAGTGGTGCCCTGGCACAACATGCTAATATCATCAGGTTATTAGCTTTATTTCTATTTGGTATGATGATTAATGTCTTAGCCAAATGAACTACCTCAAGTTGTTCTCACTAGACTTTTCCTCAAGGGGAAGACAGCTGATTATTTGATTAGATACGATTAATAGTGATTAACAGCAGTTAGTATTTCTTAGTGATGATGAGTGGATGTGAGCGTGATTATTCTTTTTGTTCACTTACATACACACACACACACCGTTTTTTAATAATGATTAGTGAAATCCTAATCAGCTGTTTCCCCCTTGCTTTTCCTTGTTTTTCTTGTTTTTTGCACTTAACCAATTAACATAATCATTCTGAAAAAAGAAATTAATCGTTTTTGTATCATTAATCTGGCAAATAAATTACTTAATAAAAAAAAATATATCATTCATAAAAGTGTATTTACAGTTACTTGTTCATGAGTTTTAAACAGATTGTTTTGATAAATACACGCGATTGCAATCAATCAGTTCTAATGATAATTTTGTGATCGAACATGTATGAGAATGTTTTGACAAGGTATTGATGATGATGATCGTGTTAAATACATAGGACATCTATAAGATAAAATATATATGATCGACAATTAAGCTCTTCAATTTTTGAAAATACATATCGTTATTATTCACAATGGTTGTTGAATTAGTCATTGTTTTTCATATATTCTACATTTTGTTTTATGAGAGTTATACAATAGATATTGAACTTGTTGTTTTTGATAACTGTCATGGTGATGTATCTCTATTACATTTATTAAGATTTTATACTATTTTCTTATTATGCATTGTGATTGATTCACTTTCTCATATTGGTGATTTTATGTTTGCATTTGTTGTATGTCTTATAGAGTTTTTTTTTATTAGCATTTCTATTTTTGTTGATTTCAACTTTTGAGTCGAAAATTTCAGTGGTGGCCAAGCTTTGTGAATTCTAGATGTGAATGGATAGTACGTTCCACCCATACCCACATTCTCACATGTTAGAAAATGCCAGTAATTTCATTATCATATATTATTCACCTTCAAGCATAAAATCCACTTATTTTGTTTTTGTTTCCACCTTTGTTCATTTCCTTCTAAAAGTATTCGTCTTTCACCTGGAGATCACTCATTTAATTAACATATTTTGTTCTTTTTCTTTCGTGCTCTATAGTGAACACTATTATACAATTATATACACCATATTCTTTCATTATTTGAATAAACAGTCTTTTTTTTTATCGATTTACAATATTATGAATAACTATGATAATAATAAGAAATAAAAGATACGAGATAAAATATACACGTAAAACTTTTTCTTATAGTTTCTATTTCTTTTCAGTTAAAAACAGGGTGTGGGTGATTATTTTTTTTCTGCTCAGAGTCACGCACACATCTCCTAAATCATGATATAAGAAAAGTACTTTATCGAGTAAGTTAAAGCAAACAATAGTGAAATTGTATGCTTCAGGTTTTTTGACAACTTCTTAGTGCAGGATCATATACAGATAATCCTAGAACGTAACAAAGTTTATTCAATATTATTTTGTCTTAAGATTATTGTAAAAAAATAATAGCTAAAGCCGAAAAGTGTCAATTTTTTATGAATGCATGAAAAATATTGTTTGGTCAACTTCACTTTACTGTTCAAAAGTAAAACAAAGATAAAATGCTACTTCGATCATGGTACCTATAATCATTCTTTTAATTTATTTTAAATAAACAAAAATTTATCCAAAACTGACGGATGTAAGTCATATGTAACTACGCATTCATTATTTGGTTTGTTGTTTATAATTGATTTATTAATATATATGCAAAATCTATCTCAAACATTCTTTTACACCACTATAACAAATCACATACAATTAAATGAGAAGACCTTGTGTAATACAATAAAAAGATGATTAATATATGTAAATATGAATGAAAACTGAATATTATATAACAAACATAATTTCGAGTTAATAATACATTCAGTTTTTGTTTGCCTTTTTAGATTAAGAAATTTCTTTTTATTTAGAAATAATCGAAAAAACAAAACATTTATTTCAGTTTATAAATTATTATAGTACTTGACGTCATTATACAATACAAATAGTACTATATATATATCGCTTCATTTTTCTAGTTAGCATACATTTTAATAATACATAGCAAGAAACACGCTAGCATTTCTATTTCGTATTTCACAATCATATTCATTCATCTTACTTCATTCGTAAACTCTCTTTAGATAGATTTCGCTTGAAATGGAAGATTTCAAAACTAAACAAAACAAACTCGATATTGTTGATCGTGAATGTCGTTGATTAAAAATGTAGAAGAAATGATCACATATAATGATTGTAGTATGTATATATTAGCATTACATTAAGATAATATTCCTTCTTTAAGTTAAGATTATTGAGATGATCATGCCCAATCAATCGAAAGCAAAAAATGAAGAATCTGTTGTATGATACTGATATTGAAGGTTATTAATAACTAATATATAATGCATCAAACATAAATTATATTTCTTTAGATGATGGTTAACTTGAAACGCCCAATTTAAAAGAAATCGTAAATTACTTATTATTCCAAGAAATATCGACCTTCTCTCGTTAAATGGATTACTTTATGGTTAAAAGGAAGAACCTTTGATATGCATTATGGATAAGCATACTCACGAACCATTAAGATATTTGCAGGAGCAACTCAAGGATTCATTCTTGCAACTACACTTTTCAGACTACACGTGGATTTCTTACCAAACAATTTCTTCCAAGTTACTTCTCATGTGTTCGCAGATGATCTATCGACATGTTAGGGCGGGTCGCAACATAGCAACATCGCCTTCTGATCTCTCTTTTCTTTATTTCTCATTCTTTGTGTAATCTTCTATATAACATATGTACACATAAAGATTTATCAGATATATGTGACGGATCTCATCCATCACTGTCACTCATATGATCAACAGATCGTATCACATCGTGTATGTACATACGCATCGGTCATCTCTCATCCTTCTATCTATCTTTATTCTTGTTTTCCCTTTCTTTCTTGACCGTTCTGCCTTACTGGCGATAGATAACCGGTCATTGTTCTTTCTCTCTTCGTTTCTCTTGCCTGTTCGCCATGAGTTCAGATTCATTCTTGTTTAAATAAAATACGAACGAGTCATCGTTCCGTCACGATATAATAAAAGTAAAAGACGAAGATCGTACAGAAACGAACATTTCGACACGCTATTGCTACTAGGATCTCTAGGGAAAACATTTCTCTATCTGTTGATGTTACTCTTATATCTAGCCCCATTCGAAAATCAAAGAATCCATCATAGAATATTTGATATTAAATTGATGATTCATCGCTCACAGGACACATACCATAAAGCTATGAATCATGTATTTAAATATATACCATGAAAAAATATTAAATGTCAGAAGAATTTTTATTGTGCTTTTGGGTGTGGCTGTACATGTAGATGAAAGATATGTTAAATACTTACACACTCAACCACATCAACATGTGTATCAACGTATTTCACGACTAACTCTTGTGCTGCATTATATTTTAGTATGTAATAACAATCGAAGGAAGAAAAAACATTTTTTTTTGTTCTGCCACGTGGCGAGTCGAGAAGAAAACATTTACGCTTAGAAATAAGCAAGTAATTGCGAAACATTGATGAAACATTCTGACACATGACTAACGAATGTATATAAATATAAATATATATTTATTTATGACAAAAGTAGAGTATATCACGGAATAAATCAATACTCAAATGGCATACAGTGACCTACCAGCACATTTGTTCAAATCACTTCATCTACCCAATCCAAAAAGTTATAACGTCTATCTAGTTGGATCTCGTCTATGGGGAACAAATACTGATAAAAGTGATTGGGATGTTCTGATCGTCGGTGATGTATCATCAGAGCAGCTTAGTAGCCTCCACAAATCTCAATATGATATTAAATTGCTTGATCGACAAGAGTTCATAGCGCGAGCGAAACAAGGTTCTATTATAGAAGTTATCTGCGCTCTAATGCGCAAAGAAGATATGTTACAATGTGCTTTTAACATTGGCGATCTATCAGTAGATCCAGACGCTATAAAAATATGGTTGCAAGAACGACAAGTCAAAGATTTAGCAAAAGCAGAGAAATTTTGGCAGAAAGGAAATCGACAATCCGGCTGGAAAATTCTCAGACATATTCTACATTCAAAAGCCCTGTACAATCATCTCGCTGATATCCTTCGTGAGAAACAAGTAACTCTTTCTATTGAAGATGTACAGACTATTGTACGCTCTGTTACATACCTATGTGACAAGAGTTGGATGCAACTAGATTGGTCCGACGTGTATACGGCTGTGATCGATGTACTAACACAATTATAGCTTGATTTGTTTTTTTGTTTGGATATTTTTAATAAATTATAGTATGTGAGTGAAAATATGAAATTTTTTTAAAGAAACCTTATGGTAATTTTATATGTAATAATTTTAAATCATTCTTACAGAATATCTGCCTTTTGAAACAGCCTGATTCTTTTTTTTCAACTAATTATAATACTCAAAATCATATTCACACGTTCTGATTTACTTTTCTTTATTATAATAAACTCGATGATTGCCTTTGAGTAAATTGATAAAACGAAAAAAATAAAATAGATGCAAGATATTTTATTCATTTAGATGATACTGTACATATGTATAAAATTAATTATTTATTCAACATCAAATGCAACAGTTCGTGCATAAATTGTAATCAAAATGATAGTTGATAGTTATACAATTTAATCATCTAATTTATACATATATAAAATATGAAATATCTAATCTATATTACAGTGATTTCTTAAATATTCGTAAATAATAATGATTTTATCTTTGTGTATAACGCTGTATGTTTCTCAAAAAACAAATTTTCAGATTTATATATCACAACTACATGAAAGAGCAAGATAATAAATAATTACAACGATAATATAACGTTTTTACATTTGTATAATCTCTTCATCTATTTAATTAAAGAAAAAAAACTGACTTCCATCAATTATATTTCAAACGATCATATAATTAAGAAATCAAAAGAATGATGAGAATATCAATCATGAACTGTCGGTAAATGATACATAATTTTCTTCTTCACATAGTACTTACATAAAAAAGGATCTTTTACTTGAATAAAATAGAAAATATTTGTCTGAAGTGAATAAAATAAAATGGATTCAAAAAAGAATCAAGTAAAACGTTTCTTTTATATATATATATTTTATATAATTTTCTTTGAATTATAAATCTAGACAAACTATTGTTCAAAAATAACAGTATATCTAAAAGCAACATGTTCAGTATTTGCTATGATTCTAATAAGTACAATACTTTGGATTATCGGTTGTGAAATATTATGGCATGGAACATGGCGAATAGAAGATATTTATCAAGCGGTAAGATTTATTTGTCTTCATTTAATTTCTGTCGATGTATATGTATTAGAAAAAACAATTTTATATCTATAAAATAATTATTCTAACAATTTTTCTTGGTTTTGGAATAATAATGGTTATTATTTCTGCATCACTTGTTTTATTTGGTATACCATTTACAGTATTTCATATCGATCATTTATTTAATCGACGACGTATAAAAATATCAAATACACCGACGATTGAAAATAATAAATTACAAAATCAAAGTAAATAACATAAAGGAATTATTTAATGTTCCATTATTTTATAATTAGATTCAAAACAAGCATTTATATGGGCAATTAGTATTTTTGTATTAGTTATTATTGGTCTCGGAATCGGAGGAATCGGTTGTGAAGTAGTACATTGGAGTGGATTAAAATTTCGAGCATTATTTAAAAATGTAAGTCGATAATAAATATTTACAAAACAAGATCGAATTTTAATTTCTATAGAATGTTGAATCCGATAAAATTCATTTTTATTTAAAACAATGTTCATTCTTAGCCATAATGTTTGCTGGTTTATTATTATCTTTTATTGGATTATTACTTGCACCATTTATGCTTGCTTTTGCTGGTGTTGTTTCATTCGATAAGAAAAGAAGTAGTTATCGATTTCGTTCTCGTCGTCATCGTCGTTAATATTTTTTTTTTAAATATACAAGTCAATAATAAAGACAAATTTCGAAAATATATTTACCAAATAAAAAAAAAATTTAAGTATAGAAGATGAAATATTTGAGAGATTGAAAAAATATATTCTCTAGTTATCTTTCGTTACATTATGATAGTATTTTGATTGTTGAGAAGAAATGGTCGAAATATCTAACATATGATTTTGAAGTACATCCTATTGAATTTAAATGAATGTATACTTGGAAATATTCTCAGACTAAAAGTAATATGATGTAAATTAATTGGAGTATGTTTTCCTAAAATCTATCTTATTGAATCAGATCATTCTCTGTCTCCTCCTATATCTATTTAATAGATTCTCCTTAGTATTTGTAACTACTTTCGAAGCTGTAAGAGGAAGTGTTTGATAAAAATGTTTTTTTTATTGATAATATGCTTTATTTTTCTAAAGAATAAACATCGAAACACAACAACATAGACAAAGAATAAATAAATTGAGACAATATTCATTTTTCTATTCTTACACTCTTTGATCTTAAATTTTAATTAAAAACGTCGTCTAAATAAAATACAAAAGGTCTTATGAGAATAAGGGCATTTTTTTTATCCTCATAATTACATTCAAGATAAAATCAACAACAAAGAAAATATGCGTCTTTAGAGCTCATTAAAACGATTATTTTTGGCAAATTGAAGATTTAATTGTGAATTCAACGAACAGTAACATTTTGTTGTGTTTGTCGTGTTTGTCCTGTACGAGCTAAATCACCTATAGTAACCACATTTGTTCTTCGTTTCAAGAGAAAATCCTTTATTTTGTTAACTATTTCAGGCATACCAAATAAGCATGTTGCTGGTAATATAAGTGGCATATAATATAAAATATATTCCAATGTAGTATATTGATCGATCATAAATAAAGGGTCTACAGTCATTTGAATAAGACTTACTGTTACAAGTGGTGACCAAAGTGCTATATGAAGTGTGGAAATTGCCCAAAATTGTAATATCATTTTACGATGTCGTCGCCAATCAATACCTGGCTGACGAGACATTTTTCCTTTGATTACTCGAATAATTAATAAAATATTTATCAAAACATTAAGTAGAAGAGGAACACTAACATTAGAAATAAAATCATATATACCATAAGTTCCTGTATAAGTGTAACAGGGTGGTCCACAAAGAAGTGTTCCAAAGTCCCATGCATTTGTACATTGTGCAGGAAAGACAACTAAGCCAAGATAGACGATTGGTGGCCATATAAGACAAATAATGATGGGTATATAATGAAATAATAATTTTCTCCATTGTCCACGAAGTAATTCTTGAGAATGAAAAACAAGTAAATGTCTTTCAATCGCTATCCATACCATTAAATATAATGCTATTGCATCAGCAGAAAAACTCCACCATACCCACACTAAACAAAAT